CAAGGGAGAGCCCTCCCGGCAGCGGCTGCGAACCTGAACTGCTCCTGCCCCTGCCAAAGGGCTGTTGACACAACTCTGCTCGCGCTGCGGCATTGCACGTTTCTCCTCTCCAAGCTTAAACGCGAGCTTTGCCGTAAGGCGCCGCTCTCAAGCAGCTCCCCGAGCTAACACTTCAGCACCACCCAGCCACAAAATCGGCAACGATTAGCGCGGCACGACATCTCAATTTACCTAGGTACTTTGCAAGCAGAGAAACTGTGCGCGTTTCTTCTGAAACGGAGGGCTTTAAATGTCAAACGGATCTTCAAGCACCTCTTAACCTTACCGTGTTTGCATAAATTGTTTCAAAAATCGGGTAGCAAAGCCCCTGCAAGGAGAAGTGTGTTGAGAGGCAGGAGGTGGCGATGCTCTTAATATTCATGGAGGAGAAGGAGGAAAAAAAAAAATCAATTTCATACTAAATTTAGACTCAAATATCAAGTTTAAAAATAAACTTCCTGGAAACTTGTTGGTGCAAAGATTTATTATAAGGCTGGGAATCTGCCATATCATGTTGGACCGGCTTTTTCTCAGACCCACCGATCCCCCACGGCTTTGACACCAGCCAGGTATTTCACAAGATGCTCCTACTGGAGAGCAAAGAACTATTTGGTAAGTGCTAACGTGCGCAAGGCCTCAGCCCAGTCTGCAAGGGGCTGGGCTCGGCCCTGGAGAACGCTGCTTGGCTTGCGTAGGACCGCAGGTGCACAGGAGATGTACTTCCTCAAATAAATATCTAACCCTTTTCAAATCCTACAAAATCTTTGGGATCTGGACAGGGAAAAAAAAATTGGAAAAAATCACCTCAGCTTCTGAACTGTTGAAGGCAAAGACTATGCTTAAAAGGTGGGCAGCCCTGGGTGATTTATTTTGAAATGCTGCCCCCATTACTGTAATAGGGCTGCAGCCCCCCCTGCCCCTATTTGCAGTGATTATCGGTGCATCTCAGCCAAGATGGCTAAAATCCATATTAATATTTTATAAAGGATAAAAATGCATGACAAAATTGCTCTTAACATCCTTTATTAAAAACCTGGAAGTGTGTCCTCCCCTTTTCCCCTAATGCCTTTTCCTTTCAAGGGAGGTGGGATTCGAGTAAGAGGGCAGTGAAGGAGAGGATTTTACAGTGGAACCAATTAAATCTTGGTGTGATTTTGCCACTTCAATTTTAGTGCCTCTCTTAGGATAGCAGGCATCCCAGCTGAATTAACGGTCTGTACCCAATTGCCTTGAAATTAACTTAAACTAATTAGAAGAGCATCTGAAATATGGCCATAGCTAGCGGCTCTCTGCCACGAGCTCCTCGAGCGCTGCAGGAGCCCCCGGCGCCGGGCTGGGTCACTGGGCGCAGCCAGGTCCCGCGGTGTCCAGCGGTACAGGAGCGAGCAATGAGCTCACACGGCCCAGCTGCTCTCGCGTCACTCCCAGGCCAGCAGAACCTCTGGCTGCCAAATCAGAGAGCAAAGAAGTAAGACGGGCCTTGCCCCACTGCCACCTCCTGCCTCTGCACTGCTCCCGGAGCTCCCCTTTCCCTTCAGCCAAAGGAAGGGCTTGCAACGTGGCTCACGGCATCAGGCACTTAAGGGAAGCCCTGCACAGATACACAGGCAATCGCCGAGTTTAAGAGTGGCAGGTTATACTTGCATTCTAGTACTTCTGGAGCAACGTTGCTGCCCTGTTTCTAGCCTGGCACTGCTGTACTTTCTGGTCAAGGAGGTTTATTCGTCAAGACATCTCAGAACTAAAATTTCAACGTGAGAACATAACCTTTGAAAGTGCAACTTCCTTTTGTTCCATCTGCCTCGGCGTGACCCTTCAGGACTCACGCATCAAGCAGAATTTTTTAAGCTTAAGTACTCCTTAAGCTTTTTTGGGTTTCATAACATCCTTTGAGCCCACAGAGGTTACACACCCAGCTGAGAAACACAGTCTTGGCAGAGGGCACTTTCAGCTGACCCATAACAAAGTGCGGCTTTAACGATGCAGAGTGCATGATGCAAACCCTGGCGTAGCCCATGATCCTAAGAGACTGGTAGAGCTCCTCTTTAGCAGCTGTTCCTTTATAAACTGCCTCAATCAAGAGACAACATGTCACTATTTTTCTATTCAGAACATCTTAATTAATGCATTGCCTATCTTGGATCAAAATCAATGTTAACATCCTCCCACCATCTACCAGAGTAAGGTGAACAAAGCGTAGAGTGAAAGGAAAATACCAAATCTAGCAATTAAATAATTGACAGAAAAGCATTTTTGGAGCTAAAGGAGAAGCCTGAAAAGGCTGAATCTCATTCTGCCACGTGCCAGGCCAGTAGAGCCCTTTAGTTTAGTTAGCTGTTTGTACTTAACTTCTAAGTGGTTAAAGCAACCATTCATAGTGAAGTCTCCACTGGCTAATTATCACACCAGATCTTACCTCTGATAAACAGGTCTAACTAGCTACAAAGATGATGCAAAAGTTTCTTGAAAAGGATTTGCGGAAAGGATCCTCCTATTTGGAGCATATTAAGGAAGCAGATACTCAGGTAGTTCCAACAATACAAATTCAAAGGAGACGAAGTTCCTAAAACTCCACCCTCCCAAAGCAGACAGAGCAGTTGCTTCACACACACAGTTAGCATTGCTGTATTTTAGAACAGGCATGCGGCAGTATCTATGGTGGAAACAAAACTCTTACCACTCCAAGTTGCCCATTTTAGCCCAAATTCCTGGAAAAGCATGTGGGAACCAAGTATGTTTCTTAGTGTCAGGGGAACACTGGAAATCATATGAAAGACATTAGGTTGTCATCAGAGGGATTTAGACACTCGCATCTTTCCAGCACGTCCAGAGGAGATGCATTTTTGAAACAATCAGCAGTTGTTCGGTCATTCTTTTCTCTCATAGAGATGAAAATATGCGATCAGTCATGTGAATTAGATACATGAACACGATAAAAGTGAAGAAAAACCTCTTGACTCTCTATCTTCTGGAAGTTTTCTTTAAATGTTACCCGAGTCCCTTGTAACATTTTTTATTTAATATTATTCTAACAAACAAAACTTTGAGTTTGCTACACACAAGCTATTAGTGCCAACATTTTAAATGACAGCATCAGGAACCTTTCAGATATACTTTTAGAGCAGCCCTACATATCATCCCAGCAATGGTTTTCTCCCAAACAGGAAAAGCAGACTGAGAGAGGGGACCAGGCAGAGGGACCCAGTCAGCCTTTCTCTTGCCCCCACCCCGTCCCATGCAAAAGGAGGCAATGGCCCAGACCTAACCATTGCAAACATTGTCTCCTCAGAGATGTTTATTTCTGTCTTGTCAAGATGTCTCAAAGTTCACCCTGACAGGACTTTAAATCATCTCCTTGAATCCTCCTCCTACTGACTTCTTGAATAATTATTTCAGCATTTTTGGCTCCCAGTTTTTTTATGATATTATGTTTTCCCAGACCCGCTTGGTGCTCTTACAGGAGAAGGGCATTGAGGCTGTGCCCTACACATTTCACACCCCAGAAACCCTTAAAGACCCTTCCCCAAATTCCCTTTATGGTAAGCGTCCAACTTCCAGCCAGCAACACCCATTCTCTACAGCCTTTGGCTTCATGCATCGATTACTACAGGTCAAGCAAGCCTCATTCATTCGCACTGCATAAAAACAGCAGAAGGGGCAGAGGGACCAAGTCTCTCTTTCTCTCTCTCTTTTTTTTTTTTTTGCTTTACTTTTTATTTTTTCCTGCGGACAAAAAAAAAAAAGAGAACTCTAGTTCATACCCGTAGCACATAAGAAGCAGCGTATATAATCAGTATGTGGTTTAATGAAATACAGCAGCAATTCCCAGTTCTCTCCACAGTGAGCCCCAGCAAACATTTCTGTTTGGTTTCTATGGGAGTGGCCGAGTCCCACGGAGACATCTTTCACATCATAAGCTTAAAGAAAGAAAATTCACAAGCGTCCTTATAAAATGTTAACTTTGGGCTGTAACAAACTGGGCTTGCGATTTAACAGCTTCAAAGCTTCTGCTCAAAAGAAAAGACATGTTAGAGATGGAAGCTTCCTTTGGAAGGGTTTACACCACTTTCACGTTGATCCCTGTAGGATCTACTTAATGGCAACCTCCAGCTGGCAAGGGAGTTGCTAGAAACCGTCAGACATAATGCTGTTCTGCTGTACCAGTGTGGTATTGTAAAAGGAATAGATTACAGTGCTGATGATACAGCATAAATAGTTCAGAACTGGTTGAGAAAAACATCTGAAAATACCTGACTCCTTCCTCAAGGAACAGACTTGTCACCTGCAAATATCCAGGATCCACATACAATCAGGGAACTAGAAGCAATGTGCTCGAGTTGGGGGTCATGAAATGACTGACCCTTCAATGGAGTTAAAAAAATAAACCAACAACTAAACAAGAAACAACAAAAAGGAAAGCTGACAGCTGCAATGAGAACAGTGGTGTAAGCTCCAGAGGAAGGCAACCATCTGCATCAGCGTCCCAGGGGAAAGCCCAGGAAGTTCACGAACCGGCCCACCAGTGAACGCGCGCTAGTCTGTGCTCCGCTGACCAGGGAAGCTGTCACCGCGTTCGGTATTGCATGAACCGAGTGTATTACTTGCCTTAGAACAAGTTACTTGTTTTTCTACAAGGAATGCTCCAGCACGGACCAGAGCGCAAAATAAACTGAAGGAACATGGACAAACATTTCTAAAACAGCACACCTCCTAACACACACGTGCACCATCCTACGGCAACCTCAGATGGAAAGGTACTACTGGCCTCTGGCTTAAGCCTCATACACTCTTCCCTTTGACATCATGCTAAGCAATGGTGCATGTTTGGCTGTGGACCCACAGAGGAGCCTGATGTTGGGCTTCTACTGCAAGTAGCGGATTGATTGTTTGCATTCACAAGTTTTATCTAGAAATCAGGCAGGTAAGTATTAATATTTCTCTTTGTAGAAGATCTAATTGGGTAGGAGAAGGAGGAAGCTATTAGCAATAGGCCACAGAAGAAATGAAAAGGGTTGCAATTAAAGAAAAATCTCACTCCTAGAACAAAAAAGGATATATTTTAATAGTAAAATGATTCCTATTTTTCAAGCAGGCTAATGGCAAAGTCCTACCTGGATGAGTCTTAGGAATATTTTGGCTTCCCAGTCCTGCTGTACCAGGGCAAAGTCTCAGAGGTGGCGATTCTATCTGCAATTGCCAGTGCAGAACAATTCATAACAATTCACAGCGTACTTCCACCATTAACAGTAACGTTATTAGAACTTAGGCATTGAAATCGCTTTGTCAAATAACCACAACACGGGGCTTTACTCGGTCTCTCTCTTAGGAGAAGAGCAGGAGAATTAGTTTTAAATAACAGTCTAGGTTCATATTTGTAGCAGGCTAATGAACAGAGGAGATGCCAATATTTTATTTAGTAAAAAGGTATGTATTCAGGTAGCAGAACACCTTACAGTAACTAACTTAGCAGGAAATGTTAAAGTCATAGCACAGCCCTAGATCAATTTGGGGGAGTAGGGTAGGGAAGACAATAGGGAGACTGTACGGGAAGCAGCTTCAGACTCGAACCTTGGCTTCCAATATAACGTATTCAGAAAAATATTGCATGAAAAGCCTCAGGATTTTAGTTCTTTCATAGATGTATATTTACCAGTTTTCACAAAGACTGCAGGAATACGATTATAAACAATAAATTAGGACTTCATGTTGCTATCATTTGGCATAACACAATCAGGCAATTTTTCCTTTTTAAATATAAGGCAACACAAGCCAACACATAATTTAATCCGTCTTTAGTCAAATTGCTTAACTTTGCTAAAGAGTTATCACTAAAGAACGGTTTATAGTACACTTAAAAGAATTTAAATAATGACATGATATAAGTGTACTAACTTACGCAAGGAGTCAGAAAACGTACTCTGCTAAGCTTTGAAACCTAAATATTTGTTACAGCCCAGAACTACACGTCTAAATTAAAAAAATACAAATAAATGTTTTCTAATTTTTCCATTTACGAAAAACTTTAAGAATCTCTAGCCAACTATGACGTCACTTCAAAACTCGTATAAGTTCTTTTTTTTTAAATTTTGTATGATGTCTTAAGATTTTAAACCATGCTCATTAAGGAAAGTTCAAGGAGCAAATACTTAAGGCTTTGTTTTTCAAAGGGCTGTGAGGGAGGCCAGTGAATGGCAGAGGCCAGTGGGTTCACCCATACACAATGCTACTCAAACCCACACTACCAGGCGACATTCATACAGAAATATTACACTTAAAAGTTACAGTGTAGAGCAATATTTTTAGCCAGTGTACATATAAAGAATCAATGCATTTATTTTTTTAATTTCCAAACTTGATTGTGATCATTATGTTCAAGTATTAGTCTCATTGACAGAGATGAGAAATGTTCTACTTACAACAAATTTGGCTACTGAAAAGGAAAGGTATGTTTCAATATACTGAAGAAAACAAGACGCTGAGGTTATCCAATAGTTAGTGTCCTACTGGCCACCGACTCGACTAGCTGCTGTAAGTGACATGAGAAAGGAACAGAAGTAGTTAGGCACCAAGACTCTGGGAAAAAGGTACGTTATAAATAGCTACACTAATTCCCAGAGAAGAGAATTGTTCCATTAAATCTACTGTGGCGTTTTAATGTAGAAGAATATGGGACTGTAAGTCCCACAGTGTCTCATGACCGGAGCTTCACTTCAGATCAAACACCGCCCATTCCATCAGTGCTGCTACTGGAATGTGATCATGCCACGTCACTCTGCGTGTCCTTTCATTGCACCGGAGACAAGCTTCCAGTTCTGTCTCCTCGCCCTGAAATTAATTCTAGCTACTGGAGAAGCAACTGAACCCCTTTTTGGAGTTGTCAGTGGGTCTGGATTCCCACAGTAAAACCGCAGAACGGCACTTCACCTCAGGAAGGCCAGACTCCTAGCAGCAAGAGGTTCAGACAAAGTTAGCTTTTACACTGGTGAAAGGGGAATGAGGAAGGGAAGCATGATGCAAAAAAAGGCAGCTACCTATGGCAGCTATCCTGCCTACCCCCTAAAACTGCCATTCCCCCCTCCCTCCCCTATACCCTGTCCGCAAAGAAGTGTCAGAAAAATCTGCCAGAGACTTTTGACTTTGGACAAAGTCTGAACGATAAATGCAGACGTGTCTGCAAGAAACAGCAGAAAAGCTTCTTCCTATATTAATGCCTAAATATATACCCCTAGCTAGCTCTTTTCATATGTAGGCTTTTTTTTTTTTCTTCAATTAAATAGGCCTCTAGACAGTGCAAATGGTCAATGTTTAATGCATTAATGAAATGGGCTTTTGAGTTGAAAATAAGCCCTGCTTCCTGACAAATTCTGTTGCTCTTAATCTTCAGAGGAAATTGAGATGGAAATTTAAGCAGCTATGCTACCTACCAGCTCTTTAAGGAGCTGGCAAACAGATGCAACTGTGAAACCCTGCAGCAACTTAACATCAGTCCAGCAAGTAGTTACTAAGCAGAAGGCAAAAGCTGCACAAAGGGGATTCTGCGGTGAGGAAACAGCTGTGGCGTGAAGTAGTGTAATGAAATTCTTTGAAACAAAAAGCATGTTAAATATTTGATGCGTAAAGGAGATAGATAACATGTAAGCAAAGCTCTTAAATATACAGTATGTCTTCTTCCAATGGTTACTATAATGATCACACAAGTTTGCAAGTTAAAAATGCCTTGCTTATTAATTAAAATTAAGACTAAACCTATAATTTTGTCTGTGAAAGTGACTGCAGCCTATCTATACCCTGGGTGTTGAATATGAAGATTTCGACTATCAGTCGGTTCAGGTGCTCGGTTCATGGGAGGCCGATGGACTTTTCCCAGCACGGCCATGCTCTGCTCTCTGAAGCAAGACTGCTGGAAGTCCCCGCTTAGGTAATCCATGGTCTGCATCACATTATTCTGGCTGGATGGACCAGCTCCAGCTCTGTAATGAGTTCCTCCTACGCAATCTAGTGGCGCTCCTGTTGGCTGTCCGCCGTGGAAAGGCATGGCAAGGTCCTGGGACCCAGAGCTGTCACTGTTCGGTGTGGGCAGAATGTTATTCCATAGGGGCTGGAAATAGTGCCCGTTAGTATATGGCAAGGGTCCCTGCAATCCATTCACAGGTGGAGAAGGTGTAGGCTTCTCAATGGGGGGCTTCAAGTTGAATGACTGGCCCATGCACAGTTCTTGAGGGTAGTTTGTTTTGCCAGGAAAACTCTGCCCTGCAATCTCTCTCTGAGGGTGCTTCCCTGCAAGTCCAGCAGGCCCAGCAGCATCCCCACACATTTGCTGCAGATGTGCAAGCTGGTGCTGGTTCCACGCAACCGATTTGATTTCATTCTGGTATGCAGACGGCACCCTGTTAATATTCACCATGGGCACATTAACAGAGGCAGAAGGAATAGCAGCAGCAGCATGATCTACAGGGTTTACTACACAGGAAGGCATGGGTGTAGGGACATTGTGAGTAGATACCCTGGTACTTGCATTGATAAGCAGGTTGCGACTTATAGGGCTGGGGTTTGCAATCTGTCCCTCACATACTGAGGTAGTGCTAATGCCAGCTCTGGCCTGGCAGAACTGGTTAATCTGGTGCACAATGCTGCTCAGGTCCGGTGGCTGGTTCTGCTGCAGGGTGGCAGCCATAGAGAGGGGAATGGTTGAGGTAGACACGGTCACATTCGGCGGCGCATCTGCATCCGGCATCTTCCTGCTTCCATGTAAACCTGGCTGCAGCAAAGGATTCGGGGGGTGCTGCAGAGTCTGGTGTGCCATGGTCTGAGGATGCTGCAAGCCCTGCGGCTGCTGCATATTCTGAGGGTGTGGCAGCGCCTGTGGCTGCGGTATCCCCTGAGGGTGCGGTAAGCTTTGTGGCTGTGGTATACCCTGAGGGTGCTGCAAAGTCTGTGGCTGTGGTATACTCTGGGGGTGCTGCAAAGTCTGTGCATGCTGGAGAGCCTGCTGGCGAGCAAGCGCCTGGGGGTGGGTTAAAGTGCTAGGTGCAACGTATGGTGTGGAAGGGGGATTCATCATCGCTTCCGGCAGCAGACGTGTGCGTGTTCCGTCAAAGTCTTTGATAATTCCTTTTGCTGGAGATTTGACTATCGCCAGGAGGCCTGTTTTTGTGGTGGCCTGAGACGGGTAAGGACTGTACCTCTGACCCGAAGTATCAAGTCCGTTCACAGTACGGCGTATGTGTTTCCTCTGGGGAACCTTGACACTGTTTGGGAAAATTTTTATAGTCAGTGGATTGTTGGCGACCTTCTTAGCATAAGCATCCAATTCTGCTGGGGTAGGATACTGTGCAGATCTCATTTTCTGTGTAGTGTCCCCTGCGGAGAAAGGAAATTTATCAATACTCACTGGCAAATAAAGGATCAACCTCAGGATGAGAAAGTTACACAACATGGGAAGAAAAACTCCAGGGACTCAAGTAGCAAGAACTCCATCTTCCCAGACCAGCAGACAGATCATACACCAGGTACCTCATTCCTTTTATTACCTGGCTACCTACACAACCCCCAATTCAACTTAAGGTGAGACCTGCCTAAGGGGGCAAAACGAAACCAATGTTTTGATCAGAGTATGTTTACAGTCAGACAGAAACAGGTAACATGCTATAAACATTGAATAGTCTCCAGCTCGCAATATTTATTACTGCTTGTGGTGGTGGGCTAGTTTATAGTCTCTTAATTTAAGGCTGCCTCCCCATAACTCTTCAAGCTATTCTCAAAACCTTTAGCATCTAACTCAGGAACCAGAAAGTTATGAATTAAACATTAAACTCATGTATTGACGAGGTGGGAACCATACAAAGCTCTTCAACTAAAGCCTCCATTTAAATTTCAGTTCTACTCTAGCTGCTGACATCTGAAAGCAGAGTGTCTTTTTGTCCATTAGGAAGTCCTTGTTAGTCCGAGTTTAGCAAATGGAAGGAGGCTACACATGCATTATTTTATTGCTTGCAATTATTTCTTCAGCTGAATTCTCAGTGTGGCACCTTGTTAGGGACAGTGTCCTAGTATCAAACAGCAAAATTATGCGATTACCTCACAGGATTGAAAACTTACTACTCCCCAGACAGAGGCAAAAGCCTTCTGGAGACAGAAGTGCAGTTTCAATTATTCACACTTAGTAGACACCTACCTGGCCTACAAGCTGGAACAGCAGTTTGTATATTTTTGGAAAGAACTTCAGAAATCAAGGGAAATGCTTGTGCCTCTTCAGCTATAATCTTATTCCAAGCAAAGAGTTGGGCCATTTCCTTACCACAGCTATGCTGCTTAACTCCTTTAAGGCTACTACTTTAGAAGTGATTTTATAATCTTCAAATACAGGCTCGCAGCTTTGACAATCCGATTTTGCTTTTGCTTGATTTTTTTTTTTTTACTTTGTAAACAGTTCACTGAAAAAAGCACCCATCACCTTTGCTAAAATATTCAGCCTCTCATGCCATCTACTGCTGGGCTGAAAGAACATGAAACACTGCAGCCAGCTCCTCTAGAGCCCAAGAGCACTCTTGCCTTGCACGTGGCCCTCTGACCCAAGAAAATCTAAGCGCTCCAGTAGAGAGCTTGAAGATCCCAGGAAAATGGTGCTTTTGAAAATGCACTTCTGATTTTTGTCAAGCAAATTGCCTCCAAAAGGCTCCTGAATACAGCTAAAGCCTAAGTACCAGCCATCTTTCAATCACTGTCTTTGCATCTGATAGCTTCTTGTCTTCACAAGTGAGGGAGATCACTACTTCTCTAAGAGAGCTCACTTTCAGAAAGTAAGGGCCAAAAAATAGAAAACAGGATAGACATCAAAAGAAAGGATAATTACAGAAATATTAAAAGTATCTTTTGTGAAATGGTAAGCCTTGCAAGCAGGCTGTCTTGCATCTTCAGCAAAGCACGTACCACGGTGCCGTTTATACTCTTATTCTCTGTGCTGTCTAAATACCGGCATATACCATCCTCCTCTCTCTCAATCAGAGGAAACACTCATTTGATATTAACCTAAACATCCTTCCTGTTCCAACCCCCCATATCTTCCACTGCAGGCAGGTAGTTTCTATTTCTTTTCGAGAGAGATCTGCTTTGTTCCTAATAGAGAGAAGAGTCTCTGAATTAAGTTTATCAGTACCGCCTTGCCTCAACAACCAAGGCCATCATGAGCTCCCCAAGCTTTATTTTTAGCCCTGTCCCGGACTCGTTATGTTCTGTTTCTTGCCCAGTAGATGACTGCGTGCAACACACTATGTATTGGAGAAGAGCCATTAACACTGAAGAGAGGAACCCGTACCTTTCTATATTATGGTTTATGCGAGACATGACCATTTTCACATAAAGCTTCTATTTTCATATGAAAAATTAGATAGATATTTTAAAATCTCTTTCCCATCAAAATTTCCTAGCCTGGTTTAGACTTCTATAGGCACAACAACAAATTAGGTGGTAAACATTAACAGTGAAGAGACACTAAATATTCTTTTACTCAAGCATTTATTTTTCTAATATACAGGAAGCGCAGTGGAACCTTTTAGAAAAAAGCTAAAATCTTAATGATTGAACAGACCGCATCTATCAGTTAAAGCACATCTGTAATCCTGAATCTGAAAGAATTCCTTCCTTTGAAGAGTGGAAATAACCCCTCAATCCACACACCAACATCAAATTCAGTATCCTATCAAATGCTAAACCATTTTTAAAATCCCTTGGACAGGATTTTCTGAAACCAGCCACCATTTCAGACTGACCTCTTTTAGTGTACATCTAAGATTATGCTTCTCTTATGAACTAACTCAGCCATTCTACTTAGGCCTGATCAAGATGTTGTATTTCTCCTAACATACTATTTAAAATGTTGTGCTTCACTAGTATTCCCATATGCAAGGCTCAATGACCGGAATAGTTAAGGCAACAAAAAAATTATGAGAAAGAAGAAAGGCATGAAGGGGTGATCAAGAATATCCTACAAACCAATAAATAACAATTAGGTCAGGTAACTAAGTGAATGGAAAAATAGCTACAATAGATTTAAAGAAAATGGTGTATACGAGCATCATCTGTGGCCAAGAATTCTGCATCAGGCCTTAAAATGATTAGGAGCATGGCAGAGGAACAAATGACATTAAGAAAGCTATGGGATGAGCTCCACAAAGCTATCTTTAGGTAAATGCAAGGCAGAATACTTTGGCTGAAAAGTAATCTGCCTCAAATTATTTCATGTTGACTATACGGTAAAGCTGTGCACATGAGCAATTACTCCAATAAACTGGTGAGCTCGAAGTTCACGCTCCAGCTAATACTGTGGCAACCAATTCATCTGTTCGCATTCTTGTATGTGTTGCACCATACCGGAGCTATTTTTGTTGTTAGATGAGATGTATTTTTCTGCCTCACCTCAGCACTGAAGTAACATCTTTTCTTAAGTGCATTTTACATTAAGGCTTTAAAACCCACAGCTTTTAAAATTGCTTATGGTTAAATTTTCATTAAAATTAAATAAAATATAAATAGGCCTTCAGGATTCTTACTCTAATCGGAGCATCTGCGTTGGGATAAGCAAAGAACAGCTGTGCCCATCTCCTGCATAAAAATCTCAACTGCAGTAGTCTCTCTATAGGTTTTACTGAAAGAGCCCTCAACCTTTAGAAAGGAGTTAATTTCAGTTGATGAATCTGTCCTCAGTCTCAACCTGCTCTTCTCTCTTTTCTTCCCCTCTACAAAAGCTCCTCAAGAAAAAACTTTCATCTTGACTTTGTACCACTGTCACAACAAAACAACCTTTTTCTTCCAAGGCCCTGAGGTACCCCTACTATATCCAACCATAGCTATGAAAATTGCCTGTACAGTCTTGCCTCAAGCATTCTGATCGACTTTACCGATTTACATTTGGGTCACTGGAAGAAAGGAAAGAATATCAATACGGAGTCAGTCCCTCAGTGGTCATTTTCAAAAGGAAAAGTATTTGTATATTCGTCTACAGAACTCCTACTCCATAGACCATCTTTAAGAAAAAAAGCCTCTTATTTGAAAGTGGATAAGGGAAAAAAAAAAAAAAAAGGTAATCGAGGTAATGTGGATTTTTAAGTATTAAAGAAAAAGTGTGCTCCTGAAAATTATACTTATCAATTATTAATATAAACACCAAAAGACTGAATAAAGGTCATCAGGTGGCTTTCATAACAGGAACAGTACTATCAAGGTCCTCTTCCAACCCCCAATCAAAAGTCACAAGTCACTGTTCATTAAAAATGCTCATTAATGCAGCTTTCCTTTGGCCAGGGGCTAGACTACTTGTGCATATACAGTATGGAGAGAAATGTACCAATTAATCTTACACACATCTGCAGTAGGGGTGGGCAAGGTCTGTATGAGCAGTTTCATTTCCCATATAAATCAGAACGAACTGCAACAGCTAAGCATTACCACCGCCAGCAAGGACCTGCCAGCTACTTTATATCCTAAATTCTTTTAAATTCAGCACCTTAAACTCTTCACTACACAAGATACAGCAATGCTTTCAGCATGGAAATGAGCAGTTCTGGGAAAGAGCATCAGGTACCATCAGGTTAAAAAACTGCCCAGGTATAGCACGTTACCTTGTAAGATGCATGACTAGCAAATACCTGAATTAGGCACCACTACCCTTGTACAAACCTAAAGGATTATATCAGTTTTCACTGTCAGAACTAAGCTTTCCAATCCACTGAAGAAAGTTTATGTAATGCCAGAACCTGAGCATGATCTCACAACAACAGCCTATCTTCTGCATATTTAAGCATGTTTTGGTCAACTCAAACTGGAAATGGAAAAGAGAAAGGGGGGAACGCCTGCCTTCATGCCATCTAATGAATTCCTTTTGTGAGCAAAGACTCTTTACAAATACCACAGTTGCCATTATAATTAGCAAGCCCGTGGAGTTGTCATAAATTCTATTCAAGAACTGTGGGGGAGCACACGTTTGTACCTGAAGAACATCACTCACTTCTGGCAGGTCCAGAACTTTGAGAACGTTACCCTTAACTGCAATATTATCTCATCTATTTTCAGTAGTGTGACACAAATCCTAACATATTAACAATTTAGCTGTAATTGGAGTGTAAATTACTTGATTTCAAAGAGTACCAATGATTCTATCAACAAACTGAAGGTACAGAAATTTCCCAAATGCCCATTTCAAATGCAAGAGACAGGTTATAGCCCTAAGAACCAAGTATACAGATCTTATGCACAAACCTTGGTATCTCTGAAATTTCAGCTAAACAATCAGAGTGCAACTTCAGTGACAAAGGAACAAAGACAGAATAACATTAAAAAAAAAAACACGCTAGAAAATAGGCACGTGTTCCCAAGCACAAGTTCTTCTTAAAATACCAGTATAACCATCAAAAGAATTACTGAAGTTATCAGAAATAAATTATTACAGTACTCTGCAGACATTTTCAGACGCACCAAAAAGACAGCAGAAAGAAGACAGAAACTTTGAACATTAGTAACTTGGGCTAGATCACTAGTATTTGTAGTATATGCCCCAGCTAGGGAGAACAACAGAACTGACCTCAACAGATTTGCATTAGCCTGATCTAACTTTTATTGGTTTCCATTTCATGGAAATGGAAAAAGAGGCAGGAAAAAAGTTGTATTAAGAAGCAAGTCAACTGGCACACCTTTGGTACAAAATGTTCTTAGCGAAGAGGCAAGAATCTCACGGAAACCTTGCTTGCATTTTGTCTTGCTGTGGTTACAATTAACCTTTATAAAGCTTGGGGTGGGGGGAAAAGAACTTGCAGCACACCCTTGAACCTTCACAGCTATTTCTCATAGCTATCAGTGATGGATGCCTTGAAGGCGTAACAAAACAAAGACTCTTAACATTAAATAGTTTTTCTGCTGCATCCTAAATGTTTATTTCACAGCTGTACCAGTGCCAGATTTAACAGTTAACCACATCCTGCAGACAAAACGTCACTCACATTTCTGAAGTCCAGTGTTCATCTGCGTGTAAGAAAGAAGCTGAAAGGAGAGGTCACCTGGTCCTGGCAGACAGGCCAGCATGGCAGACAGGCACTAACACAACATGGGGCATTCACTCCTCTGCACACTGCAACAACAGAGAGACAATTCAAAGTTATAATACAAGGAGGAACACAGAAAAGAAAGAGGCAAAGAGCCATCTGGGTGTTAAGGCCTGACCAAGTGAAGATACAAATCACTGTTTGGGCCCCTTTACGAACTGTCCTTACTGAATCTCTTAACAACAATGGAAATACTTCAACAAGCGGGTCATCTATGTGATTAACACACTTAAAAACTAACATGTAACTAACACCTTTCTCACTCTTCTCTGCTGTTTGACACACAGAGGATAATCCACAACTATCCTCAAACTTCAAAGATGGTTATTATGAATGGTAAAGAAACCACCAAAATTCATTTGACTATATAGTGAAATGTACTAGCTACCTACCAGGTATAGCCAAAGCGGGTTCACTGGAAAAATCCTGTCGACTGCTCTTTTACATTTAATAAAAAGGCATAGCATGCATAAATTGAAAGCAAAGTATGCAGCACTCTGCCTTGTGGCAAGATTAAGCTGCATGCTACAGCTTGTAATTTCTGTGGTCCATTAGTGTGAAAGATGAATGGCCACAACTTCCTTTATTTTATACGAGTCGTCAATTATCTGTGCAGCCTCAGATAAACTGTAAGATATGGCTTCTACATAAAGAAATTTCAGAGGATCTACCATCCTGCATTCCAGAGTTTCAGAATTTATGAAATTAAACCTCAAAACGAATGCATGAAGCACTAAAGCATCTTTATACATAAACACTGCACAGCTACCCTCAAATCCCATCATCAGCTTATGAATACAAGGCGGGGGGGGGGAGAGCGTTCCAGCAACAAAAGCTACCTCTGGCTCAGAGTCTCCCAACATTACTGTGATTACAATCACAGAGAAATGTTATTTGGAACAAGACCTCTAGAGGTCATCTGGTCCAACCCCCTGCTCAAATCCCCCTTACCATAGCTCCTGGGACACACACAAGACACAGCCAGCCCTTTACAAAGCTCTGGAAAACAAGGTGGCTTAGCCAAGCTGGAGAAATCAGCAGACTTCCCCTCCTTGTCCAGATCTCCGCAAGCATCAATGCTGATTATACAAAGAGTGCTTTTGCCAAGATGCCTAAGGAACAACAAGAAACAGTTCAGGACTTTATACGGTCCCTGAAACTTAGAAAGGATTGAAGGCTTCAAAAATTACAGACTGGTTTAAATTTAGTCCTTGCTTCACAAACCCTAATTAAAACAACTGGAGAGGCTTTCAAAGATCATAACAGGTGAAGCAGAAAGCTTGAGACTGACACAAAAAGCCGGAGTCGAAGAAACCCTGCAGAGGCAACTTTCAAAAGAATCATACTGGTTAGCATTGCACAAAATGATGTGAAGCCTTTCACATTTAAGAGCCAATTACACCCAGGCTAGGAAAGTTAAGACTCTGTTCTGGAAAGCACAACTGCCATCACATTTCTGCAGCAAATTCCAGAACGCTCCAAAAGCTGATTTCTCTGCAGAGAAGTTTTAAAGACTTTAACTTGAAGCCTAACCTCAGATCACTGTCACAAGTCAGAACGTTCAAGGAATACGTGCACCAAATACAGCAAATAGCATGGACTTAAAGCTTACCCCTACTGCAGCAATTATTCATCACACATAATTCATTAACTTCCATGTTCACGTGTGCATCTCCTCAGGTCAATACACAAAGGCTGATCAAAACCAACTACCAAAAAAACTTGTGCAAATATTCATTTATGAAAATGCCTGCATCCTCACAGAATAAATGCTCTCAAAAGTTGACCAAGCACTGCTGGCCAAGCAAGTTGGGTGCCAGTGCGACTAGCAATGAAAAATAATTTTGGATACTGAAAGCTAGCTTGATAACTCTCTGTTATTGTTCCTTATGGAAGCCCAGCCTCACTCACACTATCTGTTGCTAATAACAGCTCAGAGAGTTTGGCAAGAATCAAACAGGCTGAACTCACCAGGCAGCGCAGAGTTCGGACAAAGCACACCAACAACAGAATTACTTTACATCCATTCTTCACTTAATCACTAAGAGATATTAACCACTTGCATTGCCAGAAGTTCGAGATTCATAGCTGTAATATCTCTAAATCTAAACCTGGGTTTTCTCTTCACAGTCTGTAAGAGGTGGAGTTCTCAAAGTCCCTTAAGAGATGTTCAGAAATAAACACTGATGTCCTGACACATTCACAATTTAAAGGATTTGCTTTAGGAACAGGAAAGTTGCTTACCCTTTATAGTTGAGATTTATTCATGACTATATGGGTAGAGTAGTCAGTGAAAACTTTGCAAATACCCTGTCAGCAGCAGTTTCTTACCCCAAATTATACTCAGCAAGACCCAAAAGACAAAACAAGAATCCAACCCCTTTTCATCAGGAGAAGATAAAAAACACTAAGTTGGCAGAGCTTGACCCAAGTAAGCAACAGAAACACCCAGAGTCAGCAGGGAAAAAAAAAAAAGTATTTTCCTTTTTTCCCCCTCATTTCATCAACTTCAGAAGACCGGCAAAACCAAGACCTACTTCTCAGTGAAAAGCAGACAAACAAAATTAAGAGCCTTCACCGTAGTCACAAAATCATCAGATCACATTATTATCATATTCACCTGAGCATCCATCTTTACTCTACTGATGCCTGATGCCAATCCAGGATTGCTTTACGTTACTGCACGGCCAAAAAGAGCTGTGTGTTTCTAAAACATTATTTAACTGATGACTATTTTGTGTACAGCCCTAAAAGAGAGAAAAGCAACTCTGCAGTACAGCCCACCAATAAAAGCACTCTTGGACTGAACAAGTAGCATTTCCTACAGTAAGCTATGCAGAGGGTTTTGCTCACCTGCTCGGTCATTAGCATTCATTATACTCTGAACATTGCGACTCTTATGAGTAAGCCTCTTGCTGAAGTGCCACAGAGACTCAGTGCCACACACATAGCAATAAACAGGATAATGGCACATTAAGAGAGAGAACAAGTGATTAAGAGTGGTCAAAGCATTCAACTCAGAATAGCCAGGCTTCTGTGATAAGATAGCAGTATTTCCTTGAAGGTCAAAACATATATATACAGAAGTCAGAATTCTGCTTTATCTCCAATATGGAGGTAATATTTTAGAGGGAGCCATAAAGGTGAGTTGTTCCCGCAGGCGGATAATCATTTTAGGCAATGCCAAAGGTTCATAAAAGATTGCGGTGACAGTAATAATTTTAAAGGAAGTATGTGACTTACAAAAATCATTTTAAGTGGAAGCATAAAATCATTCTCTTAACCTGATTTGCAATAATCAAACTGATGTCATCTAGGTCACTGCTGAGCATTAAAAAAAGAAATTCGGACTTATACAGAAATGCTGACCACAATGCTATCACTGAATTCCTTATTGTAATTAAAATCCTGTTCCAGTTTTTGTTCTCTATGAAATTAGTATACCTTTTCCAAACCTACATCTCAGTCTTTGAAAATAAATGCATTTTAAATATCTTTACAAGCAAGTCGGTTAGTTTTAGCTCAAAATTAATTAACAATGATTCCCTTTAAGATACTCAGCAGCTGATTTCTTCTTTTGTCTGTCCTGAATGATCTTCAGCATGAGCTAGTGCAGCCAATTCAGACAAACCATACAGTTAAAATGAACTAAAATCCTCTGCATAAACCGTATTTGGGATTAAGGTAAGCATTAATGGCTGTCTCAGATTGTTGCTGTATACACTGTCTCAGGTCAACAGCTCAGGGTCCTGGCACAAAGGCAGTTCGGCCCATCATCCTTGCTTGGGCTCAGTTTTATTGCTCCTAATTAGTCCAGAGCAGGAGATAAACCGAACACGGCATGTCAAGAATTCTCACTGACAGACTTGGCTCCACGGCTGCAACTTGTGTGGGCACCAGCACCTGCAAAGCTCCCCGCAGGGCTGCCGCCCCAGCTCCTCTGGCTATGGAAAGCGTTACTGGGGGAACTGGAACTGGCATAGTTAGTTAAGAACTGAGTTCTTCTGGCCTTCTGTCAGACTCACTAACGCTGTCGTTAGTGTTAGCTGCAAACTGGAGACTAAGTTGACCAGTAGGCTTGGGCAGCCAGCGATGGAGGGCAGCTGTAAAACCTTGGTTAACTTGCTGTTCTACTAGACTGGCAAATTAAAAATTTACTGTTTTTTGAAATGATCCCGTATACCACCAAACGCAGTGTAATGAGTTCTGTCTGGCGTATAAGTAGTTTGAAAATATATATAAAAAAGTACATTTCCAGAGAAAAGCAGTCATTTGAAATAAATAAATAATTAAATAAGTGCCCCTCTCTGAAGCAATTTTAATTTTATCTGGCTGTAGGATAGAATCTAATAGCACAGGTACTGCAGGACACACTACACAACAGTCAGTTTGTTTAGGCACAGAAATAGATTTTTTTTCTTCTAAGATTTATTAATATTAAATCAAAACATATTAAATATAACATGGATGTACAGTGCTTGGTTTTGGGATAATTACAACATCCCTGCAACATTTGTTACTTTCTCCCTTACCTTCATCTCCATGTATTTTTTGGTCCTGGTAGCACTGTGCATCCTGCACTGATTTTCAGAAGGAGTTCTCTCACTACCAAAGCTATCAGGTCAAGGGGGAAGACTGAAAAACTCACCTTTACCCTCCATACACAGCTGAGAATCAGTTTCAGCAAAAGTGATCGTGATGCTGTCTGTCTGAATTGAATAAATTTATATTTAAAAAAAACAACAAACGTATAGTATTTTCTGGCTGATATTCAAGATTTAATATTGTCTCTGCTAGACCAAACGCTCCCCAGACCAGGGGAGACTTCTGCAACCCAGAGTAAATCCTAGATGTAAAGCAACTCAATACAGCTAGGAAACTTTTAATACTCTAACACAAGTTTTATCACTGTATAAACAGACCACATATTCAGAGTTATTGCCAAGTTTTTAAATACAGCAGTGTCTCAAACTCTCAGGAGGCCTTACGGGGTAAGCACACAAAGGAAACACTCCCCACAAACCAT